TCATTCCTTTTTTCTTTTAAAAGAAGTGATACTTCTTTTTCTCTTTTTTCTCTTTTCATTTACTTTTAAATATATATTTAAATGTATGTTGGGCTGAGAACCTTCTCTCCAACTGCCTTTCTTGAATACTTTTTATTTTTATCTTAAATGTTTTTATCTTAACTTGCTACTTTTTTGACCTTGATTTATCAGGGAAATGTTTTCTCTGTATGATTTTTTTCCATAAGTAGCTGAGTGAAAGAAATAATGTTGTATGCCTGCTTCAGCAGAGGTTTGGACTAGAATAGCTCAAAGGTCCCTTCCAACACTGTTATTCTATTATTTGAAAGTCGGTCCATGTATTCTGTGAAATATAACCTTATTAATTTAGTCTTTTCAGCTCCTTGAAAGAACTCAGGGCTCTGTAGCCATTGCATTCTGCTAATGAAAATGCTAAGAAAAAGCATATTAATTAGTAGGGAATAGGAAAGATGAAAAGAATAATATTAATAGAGTTACTTAATGGTTTGACAGTGTTGTGGGAATTATTTGTTTAGAAGAGTGAGGGCATGGGGGAAAGTATCCTCGTGTCTAGTTCCGAACACATCAGTTCTTCAAGAAGTGAATAATATAATGCAAGGGGCCAAAATTGTGGAGATCATTTTTGGTACAGTAACAGAGCAAACAATTTTTAAACCTAGGAGATCCAGTTTTAAGTAAATGTTTACATCATGCATTATTTCTTTGTCTAACTACAGTTCTTTTTCCTTTGGGAAATTTAAAGTAAAATTGACCGTCTTCCCTGTCATTGGTGGAATAATGGCTTCTGGATCTGCTTCTGATGATACAGTCCTTCATCATTCTATCCAAGAGGATAAGACCTGTGGACAATGTAGAAGAAGTGGAAGCTCAAGCAATTCTTCAGGTAGGCTTACCAAGAGAACCAACAACAGTCAAGACAGTAACTGTAGTTTACGTTTCATCCAGTCTGGAAGTTCTCTGTTTAACTATTCCAGTGACTTTCATGATAACACTTCAAGAAGAGCTGTCAATGGCAGCAAGGACAGCATTTGTTCAGAGGAGAACAACTGTGGAACTTCTCAGAAGTACTATTGCAAAGATTTTCACTCAGATTCCTCTGAAAACCCTATAAGTGAAGGGAGTGGCAGCTACATCATCCCATTGCCCCAGAAACAAAAAACTAAAGAGCGGATATTACCAGAGGAGAAAAAGAGAAATGATGTCCATCCAAAAGGTAAGAAGGTCATTGGTTACCTTGAACACTGCTGCATTAATTGTAGTTGGCATATTGCAACCGAACTAATGGCAGCCAAGCCTTTGCTGAAAATCAAGCAGTCATGCCATAACTGCACT